CAAGATCTATTCCTTTGCAGGGGCGTACCTACATATCATCTCACTCAAAGTGTGTGTGTGTGTGTGTGTGTGTGTGTGTGTGTGTGTGTGGTGTGTAAACAAAAGTGTGTCTGTGTGTGTATACTTTGTGTATACAGAAAAGTGTTTTCTCTTTCTTGCTTTGTGTGTGTGCCTATCTGTTATATACAAACAAAAGTGTGTCTGTGTGTATGTTTTGTGCATAAAGGAAAGCTCTGTGTGTGTGTGTGTGTGCCTGTGTGTGTCTTTGTGTGTATGTCTGTGTATATGTGTGTGTGTAAGAGACTGAAAAAGGAAGAGGAGTGGGTGTCTGTATTTGTGTTGTCTTAAGAAAACAGTATTGAATCACATGGTTTAGCCTCTTATCTCACAAGGTTTCTAAGCAAACTTCACAGGTATTAGTTTATAGGAATTGTTCTGTAATGACCAGATAAGTTCATGAACTGATGACCTCAGTCACTCCATATTGCTACAAATTATTGGATTTAGAAATTGTATTTGAGGTAATATTTATTACTTTTAAACGGTTAAAAATCACGAGTGATAACTGGTGTACCACTCTCTCAGAACTCTCCAGCTGGTATATTTATTTTAAATAAGAGAAGCAGCATCTATGGACTGTCTAGAGTGTACTCAGCAGCGTGTTCCACATTAGGGAAATTAAGGCTAAAATGCCATGGTTCTTGAACTTAAATAATCCAAACTTAATGTTCAGTATTATTGATAATTGGTTTTATACTTTAAACTGATTAAGGACTCCTTTTGTCTATTCACACTGGTTTATAGTTGAGAGATCACAGGACATATTCAACTATAATTTGATATTAATAAAACTTCATTTCAAACTTAGCTATTGTTGCTTATTCATGAAACAGGTATAGATACATGCTATGTGTATGTGTATATGTCATATAAATTAAAATTTACATGTTAAAAAGTTGGGAAATGTTAGCCTATTGTCATACTTTGCTTTCGGTAGCTGTGATAATACACTCACCAAAACTAGGTTGAACAAGAAAGTGTTTATTTGGCTTATACTTTGGATTATCATTGGGAAAAGCCAAGGCAGGAGCCCAGAGGAAGGACCTGAAGCAGGGACCATGGAGGAATGCTCCTGACTGCCATGGTTCCTCTGGCCTGCTCAGCTAATTTTCTTATACATCACAGGCCCATCTGCCCAGGGATGGCACAATCCACAATGGGCTGGGTCATCCTACATCAATAGGTGACTAAGAAAATGCCAAAAGACATGGTCAAGGTCAAGTGGATGGATACAACACTTCAGTTGAGGATCCTTCTTTTCAAGAAACTTTAGTTTGTGTGAAGTTAACACAAACTATCATACCTATATATTTTATTTTATTTTATTACTTATTTTTTTATGAGTGTATTACCTGCATATATATGTGCACCCATGTCATGCAATGCCTGTGGAGGTCAGAAGAGAGGATCGAATCCGCTGGAACTGGATTTACAGACAGTTGTTAGCCATCATGTAGGTGCTGGGGAACCAAACCTGGGTCCTCAGCAAGAGCATCCAGTGCTCTTAACCCCCGAGCCATCTCTCCAGCCCCCATGCCTATATATTTTAAACAATGCTCTGCAATATATTATAATTAAAATTTAACTAACTTTATGGATGTAGAAAAGAAAATAAAATCTATCAGAGGTTGAATGTTCAAGTGCAAAACTCTGCTAGAGGGAAAAGTGTAGTCTGTAAAGTAATTATGATTTGTGAGGATTTCAGATTTCTGTGTCATAAGCACAACTGAGCTTTGCTTCTCAGAGCTGGACTGACGGACACAAAAGGAGCGAGTCTACAGGGAGGTTGTTCTAATTTCTATCTCCAACTGACTTTATAGACTACAGATAATGACGCTGACATGTAAGGAAGGTTGTCATTTAAACTTGCGCTCAATCCTTGATCTGATATACCTCTGAACATGTAATGGAGAAGATTGCGATACTTAGGTAAGCATGAGGTGTGTGTACATATACATGTATAAGCCTGTATATTTCTATATGTGTAGGTTGTGTACTTCTTCATGCACACATGTGCATATTCCTGTATGTATAAGTAAATATAATTCATGTATCAAATTTCTGTAGTATCTGTCTTCTCTCTCTCCCTCTCTTTGTTTTCCTCCCTTTCTATTTATCCATATCTATATTACTCTATAGGTATTTCTTCTTAGCAACATGTGACATCCTAAAATTTTACTTTTAAACTTGGAAGAAATTTTCTTGGAAACAAAGATATTAATATCATAGTTAACATGGCTTTTTAAATAATTTGAAGATAGTAAAATAAATATTCTTCCCCCACCAAACCTCCAGAAATACTAAAATAAATCACTACCATTCTGTAAAGAGCAGACTAAGATGAGTACAATCATAGGACTTGAGGACATGTGACCAGCAAGTGCTGTACCCAACACCAGAAGCTAGAACAGATGATTTCAAATCAAAAGCTCAGAAGGTTATGAGCCTTAAGAAAAGAGAATAGATTTGGAACAATTGTACCTGGGGTGTAACTTTCCTTCTTTATGTCTCTTAATCAGATTGCCTTCTGAAGAACTTCATTTCTTTTCTGGGCTAAGATGGACATATTCACATGGATGTTCATATGAGGACTGGAGTTGATTTATGAAATTGACTCACAAGTGCCTGGGGAACAGTGGAAGCTGAATAGCGAGATGCTCTGTTCTAGCTTTTTAACAAGGCCATGTGTACGGTGGCTGAATAATAGTTTATCAATTACATTAATTTTACAGAATTTGCAACTTGAAATTTCACAGAGTTTACCTATCTCCAATATTAAATCCCCTGCACTCAAGAAATGCAAACCCATTTGATATTCTATATAAAAAGAAGTGTAGAAAAAACTATAAAATAATAAAACTGTAAAATAATAAACAAGTAAACAAAATAATAACATAAAAACTCAAAAGTCATATTCATTCTTGACTAATTTGTAAGGACTGGTTTATTATCATTTACTTAAATCATGAAATTATTCTATTCCTTATCATAACTAAGAATGGGATATAGATATAATTAGGTAAAATAGAACATGGGATATACTTCATTCGTTAAGCATTTGCCTGACATACATGAGGACCTGAGAAAATCCCCAGTCCTGCTAAACAAAACAAAACATAAAAAAAACAAAATGCAACCAATTAAATTAAATTAAATCTATTGTCTAACATTAGAGAAAAAATCCATAAAAATGTAATCGATAAAATGATTTTGTTAATAATTCTGAAATATTGTGGTCTGACTCGATGGCAAATATCAGAAGAGGCTTGCATCCTCGATTCTGCACAGGACACATGCCAGCTCAATCAGACAAAGGCCCAGAGTGGAGCAAGGGAAATGGATGGCAGGTCGGCACTACTCTGGGAACTACTGGAGACTGATCACTACTGGGTGAGTGTGAGCAGGCCGTACCAACAATCTCTAGATAGGCTGACTAGACTCCAGTGGATGAAGTTGCATCAAAGGACATCTGGGTAGAAATGCTTAACTGGATAGGACTTCACATGTATAAAAGAATACATGAGGTCTGGTGGGAGGGGGTAGGGGAACATAGGTGGGAAAGGGATTCTAAATTTGATTACAAACTGTTGTATGAACTGTACAAAAGCTCAATCATTTTTAAAATTAAGTTATATATTGTATTCTTCCATTATGTGTAAATGCTATTATATATACATATATACACAAAAACTACATTTAAAAAATTGTAAACCAAATATAATCTAATACCTTTATATACCAAATCAGCAAATAAACTGACGATTATCTGGCTATACAGGAAAGTATATAAATGTATACATATTTATAATGCATATTTATGTAACATATAAATGTATATTTATAATAGAAATAAGGCTCCATTTAGCCAAATAATCACTTATTGATGTACACATATAGACATCATCTTTATGTATTACAACGACAATAAGACACTATGTACTTAAATAATTACCAATTTAATTATTGATTTTGTATGTGAACGCATTAGACAGCATTTGGTTTTGGATTTCATAACATGAGTTTTTATTTTTCTGGTAATTAAATAAGTACTAATTCCATTAGTTGGTGAAGTTATTGCATAAGCACCTCTTCCATTTACAAACAAAAATATTTTCACCATCTTTAATGTGTGTGTTTTTGATTGGCATTGAGAACATGAAAAACAAACAGAAGCCCAGAGAAACATGAAGGTTCTTAACATCATTGTGTTTGGCATGGGATTATATTTTGTGCTATTCTACACAATTTTCACCTGCCATTGTGTGGAGACCCTCGTGACTGTCAGAATGAAGGGCGAGCAGCCTCCAATAATTACAATGAATTGACTTGAACAATACCAAGCAAAATTTAGTTGTGCTCAGAATATTCACACATCACATTCAATGAATGGCTCAAGGGTACCTGGGAGAGGAAAAGCCATTTTCTTTTGGAAAATTTGGCCATATAAAATTTTGTGAGTAATTAACTTTCTAACTTTCTCTGGTGCAGTAATCTCTCATTTTCTTCATGTCTTAAACTGCAGTGAGAATTTGACATAGTTTTGTCATTCCCTAATTACTGAAAATGAAAGCTGCTTAATTAAAAAATGTATAATGTTCTGAAATAACACATATAGTATTTAACAAAGACTTGAATCAGCCATGATATACAGTTGAACTCTTTCGTGTGAAGCTGAGTAACAGATTTTGTTCCAGTCTTTCTCCCATTAGACAAGGAATAATTTCAGTTAAATTGCCAAGATCCATAAAAACCCAAGCCTGAGGAACAAAACAATTTAGCTCTGACTTACAGAAATCAGCTTCCTATCACTTTCTTTTTTCCTTGGGACATTTATTCAGAGATTTTACTGATTTGATTGTACAACGGGAGGTTAAATTCTCACATAGTGATCATTAGCAAAAAATAAACAGAGCAAGTTGGAAAGCTGGCTTTGCACCTACTGAATGCTGCAAGTGTCTGTACTCATTGGATATGCATCTTGCAAAGCTCGGCTGTTCCCAGAAGGCCACTCCATGAAGACTGAGAGAGCAGCGTCTGCTAGTGGTGCCTGCATGTCACAGAGAACAGAGAGAAGCTTTATAGCACAGTGCTGGAAGGCATCTCACTGTGAGGCAGGCTACAAACTGCATTTATACATTTTCTTTTTTGCTTTAAAAAACGTGCACATGAAATTGCTACTTCGAAGAGTTTTATAATGTGTGAGTCATACTGAGTAACCAATGCATCAACAATATTTTCTAGGTCTCTTCATCGGCTCCATTTATGAAGCATTTTACTAAAATTGCTTCATCAACTGCTTATTTGAACAGACTTATTTAGAGATAAACAACAGATAGCAGGACTTCCTAAGCAAATGTAGCATGCTTTTCTGGAATGCAAGCATTATTTAGGCTGGGTGGGTCCTTTTACTGTACCTGTGGCATTCAGTGGACATTGGTTGAATGCCAGGTCGCCTGCAGGAGTCCTCTTCCACACCATCGACATAAGGTAATCCTCGGGGCATATTTCATAAGGTGCTGGAATTTCAAATACAGGGATGTGAATGTCAGTAGTGTTTGTCTCCTTAAATCCCGGCAATACATGATTCTTAGATGCATCTAAATGCAGAGCTCTTTCGCTTTCTTTAAAGAATATTAATGACTGAAATGTTAGGGATATATTCATAAACAAAAAAAGAGATTTCATTTGAGCGTCTCCTATGTCCTCTTGGTTTCTTTTGAAATATCTTACTGTGTGTGTTTTTATTAAATAGCCACATGTATTTTCCTATAAATTGAACATGTTTAAGAACATTAATAAAAAGCCTTTTAAAAGTCATATTATTGTGTGCTATTTTTTCCAGTGAATCTACTTTGTACTGGAACTCTTAATGAGAAGTACTAAGATTAAATAAGCACAAGGAACAAATATATATATATATATGTATATAGAATATGTATCTATTACAGTATCAGAGTAGAACAAAGCGCCTAGCACATACTAGACAGGTGCTCTACCACTGAACTATACTCCCAGTCTAAAATATTTGCTTTTACTTTTTAAAACATTTTTAAAATTTTATTTTATTTTTATTTTATGTTTATGAGTGTTTTGTCTACATGAATGTATGTGCATACATACACATGCATTGGACTCCCTGGAACTGGAATTACGGATAATTTTTATTTACCATATGTGTTCTGAGAACTGAATCTGGGTCCTAGCAGCCATCGAGTGCTCTTAAATGCTGAGCTATCTCTCTAGCCCCATGCTTTTATTCTTTAATCATGAATAACCACAGTAGTCATAGTATATTCTATGAAAATATAGTGATTTGATCTTTATGTTTTACAATTTTGAAATCTTAATCAAATTGCAGAGTACGAGACTTAAAGAGGTATTAAAAATAACATATGGAACCACATTAAAATGAAAAACCTAATTATCATGGAATACAGAGATCTGTATACGTTGTGTTAAACCTGTACTTTTTCTCCTAAAGAAACTACTGTTGAGATTTTACAAACAACTTTGCCATTCACATCTCCATATTACTGTTTTCACCATTATTTTGGGACTTGTCTAATTTTCCTATCTTTGTGCCACCTATACCTAACAGTATGTCTGGCATACAAATGCTCAAAACGGAATGAACAATGACAAATGGATATTTCTATAAATGCCTTGATAAATGAGAATGAAAATAATAGCCTGTAAGCCTGACCATACAGTACACAAGATTTGATCTCAATAACTTAAATAACCATGATGTAATTATTACCACACAAACCTAAACGAATATGCGAGTGCAACTTCCTGGGAGAAATGTCTTCTTTTCTAATACACTATTTAAATCATGCCGACAACAATCCTACTTCAGAATTTATGAATCCACTTTAAAGTTTTGAGTAAATGAAGTGAAATTGGACATATAAATTTCATATATATATGTATATGACTCAAGAAGGGTGAATTGGTTAAACATGTGGCATTTCAGAGTTGCACAGTTTATCACTGATTGCCTCTCTTTTAACTTCTTCATAGATGAGACACAGAGGGTGCAAGGAAGTGGCTCCTTCACAGTGGCAGACATGGTGGAGGTAACATCAGTGTTGAATCCTAGGGTTTTGACTCCTCAGTAGCTTTGTTTTGGGTTTCCAAATACACCTATTGCTATTTTGAATGATTTAAGATAGTCTTCTGCCTCTAGTGTAAGTGTTTTCGTTTTAGATTCTCATTAAAGCTTTCGTCCTGTGGGTTCTTTGTTTCATGGGTGGTTCAGTAGTTGATTTTCTATTCATCAGCCTGTGTTCATATGCCATCCTCTTCATCTTTCAGTGCTTTTCTACCAAATCTAATATGATTAGTTCAGTCTGCACTCACAGGGCCTTCTATGCAAGTCCTTTATATTTTTATTTCTCTCTTCTGGAAAATACTTTCTTTAGGACCTTGGAAAGCCATTTTCTTTTATGCTTGGACTGCTTTCTTGGTCTCCTTCCTTGCATCTCCTGCATAATTATGTTATGTGAAATACTCTCTATATAGTTTCAAATTTAACAACAATCATCCTCATGTTAGCATTCACTGACACCTTTGCTAGATTGTTAGAGTCTTACATCTCTGAACTCATCTATTCTTCCCCAACTATGAATTAGAGATGACACTTCTCATTTACCATGTGGGAAAACAAAGGTGCAGAGTCAGAAAAAAATTTTCTTTTTCAGATTTCAAACCTTCCCTTTACTATATGTTAAATCTGGAGGAGAAAAAGAAGTGCACATGAGGATTACTGAGTGGGGAGGAGTCACCTGGCCAGGGTATCCTGTCCTCATCTCTATCAGAAGTGAAGCCATGTCTTCCTGGTCCCTTTTAGGTATTAGCTGTTACACAGGGCATATGTGTTGTGCTGTGGGTGACAAGGCCTCTTTCTGGGATTTAAGAACAGGATCTCTCACTGAGTGTGTCCTTGGGAAGGGCAGTGATGCATAGATATAGAGTCATCATAATTCATACATTCAGAAAAACAAAATAGCTCACCACAAAACATGTATAACTCAGGTTAGGGTAAGAATAGCTTCTCTGAACAATTTCCTTCCCTAAGCAGCTCAAGAAACAGTATAGACACCACTTAAATGATACTGTAGCCACCACTGAGTCAAGTAGCCACAGCACGCCTATCACAGAAGCAAGCTGTGAGATGCTGTCCTGACTGTCTGATCTGTTGGAGATCATGTGCTTCTGTCTTCTGCTGCCTTCACCAGCCACCTACCAGCTGATCTTTCAAGCCCAAATAAGTATCTCCTAAGAGGAGGTCACGGTATTTGAGGGAAAGCAAAAACAAGAAACAAAACAATGATGGAGGAAGTTGTCACTATAGACCTATGCAACACTCACATTAATGCCAGTGAAGGCAAAGCAGTGAGAAAAAGAAGTAAATCCCACAGCTGCAGTAAGTAGACAGTCAGTTGAGGTCTGAGTCATAACTTTTGCTTATTATGCTGCACTCCTGTCTGGACACAAGCTTGTACCTTCAGCTGTGAACTAGAAAAAGTAATGTGCTTTTTTTGTTTCAGATGTCTTTCTTGGGTTTTAGACTGGCAGAATCAAGAGCTGAGTCTGCTTTTTACTTGACTATTCCAAAGAAAACACAAAGCCAGTTTGCTGACATCATCCCTCCACCCTGCACTACCTCTTATTTCCTCTCCTCATAATTCCTAACTCTGAAACTGATATCCCAAATGTTTCCCCATCACTCAAAACATCAGATTCATCTTCTTCACATCCTTCTTTTCTTCATCTTCCATGATTTCTTCATGTTCATCTTCTGTCCATGAGTTTATCTCTGCCGCTTACCCAAGTAGCCGTCCTGTCTTGTTTAAATTAGGAAACAAGTTCACTGTGCTGCACTTACCTAACCTACAGTGCTGCGTGAAGAAAGCAAACTGCATGATGGTTCTTTCAGTCAAAGGGAAAAAGTCGAGACAAAAAATTAAATGCATAATTGCCTCAGTACATCTAAGATCTTCTAAGAGCATTTTACACATTAAATGATAAATCTTATTGTGATCCAAAATCTGAAGGATCAAAAAAAGCTTTCTGGAAGAAGTGAAACTCTGTTGAGACAGTATGAGATACAGTAAATGTTCCAGGCAGAGGAAGCAGTGCATGTAAAGGCCAGGAACGCTAGTGAGACTGGAGAGATAAGAGGTTAGAGAACGCAGAGCTCTGCGCATCTGAGCAAAGGCTGACATAACTCAGTTTTCAACTTTGAGATCAGTTTTCCTTCAGTGTTTAGACTAGATGGGAAAGACCACAGAAGAAGCTAATTACACATCACTCTGATGACTTCAGGAATTACGGCTGGACTGAAGATAAAGACAGTTGGTGTAGACAACTAAACTGAGGAGGTAAACTAAATGATGTGGGGAGTGAGAAGGATAAAGCGGTCAAGGATGATGCCTGCTGTCTGAGCTGAGGAACTGGGCATAAAGAGATGCTAACTCACTGCTTAAAACTCGCTCATGGTTCTGTAGTCTTGACAGGCAAAAGATACATGTGTTCACTGTGATGAAAAGGTGCTTTGGGGAAACCTTAATCTACAATGACTCAAATTTATTTTCCTCTGCATTAATAACTCAGAATTGTGGTCATACCCAAGTATTCTGCATTTATAATTCTCTACTTCTATATCTCTCCTTCAAATGATCTCTCTTCACACTTTTCAATGTAAAAAATTCTTTTTATCTTTGCAACACAGCTTAAATGCATTTTTTTTTCTGAGAAGCCTTTTTCAATGCCTCAGTTATTTAATATATAAATTTAACATTTCTCGGGCGTGGTGGCACATGTCTTTAATCCCAGCACTTGGGAGGCAGAGGCAGGTGGATCTTTGTGAGTTTGAGGCCAGCCTGGTCTACATAATGAGTTCCAGTACAAGGAGACCCTGTCTCAAAAAGACATTTAACATTTCTCCCAACAGACAAATCTCCCAACAGACAAAGTATATGGCTGTGTGTGTAAACCTCTCCACTTCCAAAATGATAATTTTTAGAAGGCTAAAGATGTTTTTGCTTATTTCTTTCAGTTTTCAATGAGTGCTTAGTATATAGTAAGTACCAAAGTAGGTCTTCTATGTAAATTATTTTTTACTGAGCAAGCATCCATCTATAAATTCCAATGACAATGGAAATGCTCTATATTTTCACGGTCTAATATGGTAGCCATTAGCAAAAATATGACTATCGAGTCCTGAAAATATAATTAGTGGTTCTCAGAATTTAAATCAAAATTTCATTTAATTTTAATTATTCCAAATTTAAATAGCTACCATTTTGGACAATGCTATAAATAAATGATTATGTGCTTAAATAAATTCAATTACAAACCACTATAGAATACTTTAAAATGGAAAATTACTGTGTTAAACTCAACAAAATATGAGTTTATTACATAAATAAATGCTATATAAAATAACTGGCCTATTTTAATAGTATTATGAGAGTAGTTTAGTATTACCATTACACCGATTACTTTCTGT